CATCACTCAACTTACTGAGATGCTGACTGGAACTTTGTTAGAGGATGTTGAGTCTGGCTGTTTAGGGCAACTGTACACATCTCCGTCCACATCTTTAATGTCACACAGCAGCAGGGCTGTCCAGCCCGTGGCCCGTGGGCCGCATGCAGCCCAGGACGGCTGTGGTTGAGGCCCAACGCAAAATCGTAAATGTACTTAAAACATTGTGAGATTTCTTTGTAATTACATGTCGCAATGTACTTAATGTGTGGGCCAAGACGACAATTCCTCCAGTGTGGCGCAGAGACGCCAAAAGGTTGGACACCCCTGGAGTGGAGTGGACTAGCTTCTCTCGGGTGAGTTCTGCCCAGGTTTTGTTCACCGAGTCCCAGGCACTGAACGGCTGTGAATGGAACGTGTTTCCTCTTACTCTCACCGACATACGAGAAACAGGTGATACAGTGACATCGTGTGCATGAAACTGACCTGGTGTGATTTTACTAAGACACAACATCCCTTATGCCAAGAAATAGGCAACCGGAGTCTAATGATGAGCAAACAAGCACACAAACCCAAATAAAGGAATGTTCTTTAGAACAACCAGTCCGTCCTTCTCAAAAGTACCACTGTCCTAAAAAGCAAAACAAAACAGGCAAAGACTGAGGAACCACATGAAAGCAGTCTAAATGGCATCACAACAGGATGTAATGAGCGACTCTGAGCTGGATCCTGGACCGGACAAAAACACGTTGTAAGTGACATCACTGTGACAACGGGCGGAATCTGGATGCAGCCTGCAGCTCTGATAACATTTCATCCGAGTTCAGTTTCTTGAATTTGATCATTGTGTTGCGGTTATGTGACAGAGTACCCTTGTTCTTAGGAGATATACACTAATTTTAGGGGTGACAGAGTATGTTCGAAACGTCCTCTCCAATGGCGAGAGAGGGAGAGAGTGCAAAGTGGCAAAATGTTAACCACTGGTGAACCTAAACAGTCTGTAGGTGTTCATTCAGCGTGGCCCATTGCTGTAACGTTTCTGTACACTCGAAAATGTTCCAAGTGAACAGGCAAAAGGAGTGAGAAAATGATTAACCACATGATGTTCAATGTAGAAACCAAAACAACACATTGAACTTTTAGGCTCCCCTTTTAATAAAAGCATTAGCTGACATGGGCATTGCTGGGACAGGAAATTCGGAGCGCTCTCCTTGGGCCAAATCTCCCTCTGATTTATGTGTACTTGCCCTTTTATCCGCGGTTTCAGTGTATCGCTCTTGAAATCCAGTTTGGAGATGTTTGCCATCCTGGGAGAAAACTTGCTGGTCTGTATTTTACTATATCGCTGGTCCGTATTTGCTAGTAGCTTAGTTTTTATGTTTTCATATGTGCAGTGGACATAACGTGTGTTCTTGTCAAGGTAGCTTTGAATCGAAAGTGTCGCGGGTTGGAGGTGAAGGCAGGTTCAGATGCTGGGAGTTACGGAGGAACCAGGGCTCCCAACAAAAGTAGGGATGGTGTTGGACCACCAATCACCCAATTCACCAAATAAGGCGGGGCCCCTAGCCACGGTCCCTATGGTGAGGGGCGTGGAGACTTATGGGAAACGGAGTCCTGAGTTTGACGGATTCCCCGGAGCCGAGAGCAGAGAACCGAGCCTTCGCAGCTCCTTCTGCGCATGTGCAGTTCGTCCTCATTGTTCTCCCGCTCCCTTGTCTCCAGCTTCTCGCGGCAGGTAGCAGTGGAGGCGCCCGGTGTACGCGTGGCTCCGTGACCGGGTCCTGCACGGAGGATGTGCACTACAGGTGAGAACCTAGTTTTCGAGGGTTGCGTTGTCAGGTCTGCGGGAAGGATCGGGTCCACACCTGGTGGAAGCTCAAACCTGCGCGAGTCCCGTGCTGACTGAGACCCTCCAGCGCCTGCTCCCCAGTCCGCTCTGCCTTTGCCCCTAGAGAAAGCCAAGTGACAGAGCAGCTGGGCTGCGGACCAGCAGGCTCCACGAGGGGGATAAGGACCTGGATTTCTTGGTCAGAATAAACTTCCCCCAGAAAAGGCATCCAAATGTTAAAAGACTGTGTCCAGAAGCCCCTCGAGTTTGCAGGTGCCCCAGGCAACCATTCATTAGCGAGTGAATCCACCACACCCAGTGGAGAGGAGAAAGAATTCTTGTAACAGTTACTACGTGCCTGCGGGCTAAGGGCAAGGGGGCGGGTCTGCAGCGCAGCAGGCTGGTTTCAGAGTCCGAGTGTGAACTAAGACAGAAGGGCTCAAATTCTAGCCCAGCCACTGAGTCTCCGTAGGCAAAATCCAGCTTCTAAGCCTCAGTTTCTCCATCAGCAAAATGAAGTTATTCCTAAACCCTGGCTCAAGGTGGACCTGAGGACTGAATTGGGCAGCACCTGTGGCTCACTCTGCACAGGCGCTGCCCTTCACGGAGCCCCTGGGAAATGCCCAGTGCTTTTCTCACTGTTCTCTTTATTAAGGATATTGTTTGTTCTCAAGGCTGCCCTGTAAAATCCGTATTCATGATCCCGTTTTAACCAAGCAGTAAGCCAAGACTCTGCAGGTGAAGTCGCATGGCCAGTAGTTGAAGGAGCGGGGGTGCCAACCTCATATAGCTTTATTTCCAAGTCCCACGCAGGGTTTGGCCCGGCAGGACAGCCTTCATAGCCCTGAGCAGAGTGGCTGGTCCCTGGGAGCCGCAAGAAAGGACCTGGAGTCCATGCAAACTGAGTCAGCTCAAGGGGCTCTTGGAGATTTCTTGATATCTGTTCAGAACCCTCGGGTTACTGAATAACCGAGGCTTCTAGACTCTCCTGTCATCTCTCTGCCCTGTGCCCTCAGCAGTGTACAGCCCCGTAAGTCACATTTTCTGGCAGGGGTCCTCAAGCATGCCTCCGAATCACCTGGAGAGCTTGTTAAACGCAGACAGCTGGCCAGGTCCCACCCCTGGTTTCTCTGCTTTAGCAGATCTGGGTTGGGCCCCAGAATTTGCATTTCTATCAAGTTCCCAGGTGATGTTGATGCTGCTGGTCTGGGGACCACACTGAGAGAAGTGTCGCAGAGGATGGTGAACTCCAAGACACAGTGGACCTGGGCGGAAGATTCCAGTTATCTGAATGTACGCCCTCCAGCCAGGTCCAAATTCTCCCGACCACACAGCTCTTATGAGGAAAGAAGGTGGGCGCACCAGGAACACGGCTCCCGCCTGGGAGATCCCCGCCCTCTCCAGATACGGCGACCACAGCTGCAGGGCAGAGATCCGAGACACACACAGGTTCCGTCTTTGCTTGGTCAGAAGCAATTCCTGATCATTCTGCCCCGAGTCATACCACCAAACCACAGGCTGTCCAGAACCATTGGTCAGTGAAGGCGAGGGCCAGCTGTCCAAAGGCACAAGTAAGCTGGACTGAGGATGGGGGGCAACAGGTTGGCTTTGAGGGAGGAGGAACTCCTGTGGACGGGATGATGAGGACGTGGTCCTGGAGGGAGCCCCCCCAGAAACTCCTCCCCATGCCAGTGCTCCAGTCTCTCTTCCGGGATTCTGCCCAGCCCTGAAGCCACGAGCATCACGGCGTCTGGAATGTAGGGTTGTGCTCCCCACCCCCGTTCCTGCCTTCAGAGCAGTGCAGGAAGGGTTTTCAGGGGCTGTACAATCCTGCCTCGGTTCCAAAGTGAGCAACATTGGGCCCAAGGGAGTCTTCAGCACAGGGCCGAGTACAAGGTTTCTGGAGCTGGCTGCCAGGGTTCAAAGCCTAGCTCTTCTTCCCCTCAATTTCCTCTATAAAAAAGAAGTGATAATAGTGCCTACGTCTTGCATTCTTTTAAGGAATAAATGGGGTGATGTATGTAAGGTACTTAGCGCGATGCTGTTACATAGTAAGCACTATACAGCTGTCGTCAGTATCACTGATGTTATTAAACCTGGATTATCACGTTGGTTGTCAGTATTTGTTAGTGGCAGGACCAAAAGGAGCGCCAAGGCCCCCCGACTCCGAATCCCAAGCCGCTGTTTTGTCCACAATGACGAGTCAAAAGGAGTTTCTTCATAAAAAGTCTTTTGGGGATGCTGCAACCAAAGGAGAACAAATCTCTTTCCTGAAAAATAGATTTCCTTGCAGCACACTCATTCCTGTTCCTTCGAATTCTTTGACCTCATGGAGTTAAGATATAAGGAGCAAAGTAAGTGAACAGATCTCTATGAGGTTTTTGCTGTTGTATCTTTTACATTTTTTAAAAGATTTTATTTATTTTTAGAGAGGGAAGAGAGGGAGAAAGAGAGAGAGAGAGAAACATCAATGTGCGGTTGCTGGGGGCTGTGGCCTGCAACCCAGGCATGTGCCCTGACTGGGAATCGAACCTGCAATGTTTTGGTTCGCAGCCCGTGCTCAATCCACTGAGCTATGCCAGCCAGGGCATCTTTTACATTTTTTACTGGAAATATTCAACGCATGCTAAAGGAATGAAGATAATGTAATGGCTCCCACATACCTGCCATGACTTCAGCAGTTTTCAATACATGGATCATTTTATTTCATCTGTGTTCCCTCTGCCTTGATGCACACATGCTCTGACCCTCACACGCGGCCCCCGTTCTGCCTTCCGCCTCCGCTGGGTTATTTTAAAGTAAATCCCAGACATCAAAAAATTCAGAATGTAACATGTTCCATAATGGGGCAAAGGTGTGGCATGTAGTCCTTGCTATGTTATGATTAGTTTAACCACGTCTTTCTTAGTTGAACTTGGCCTTGTTTTATTGATACATCCATCTGCTGTGGGATCAGAGGAGGCTATCCACTGTAAGAAACCAACAGGGAAAAAATATTTACTCTCCCCAGTGGAAAGCCTGTTTCTCTTAACTCCTAGTGGTGAGCCCCGGGCTAAGGGGTCAGGGACACTGTCCCCCTGTGTGGCTGCGTGACCACGCCATGGGGGCCTTGAAGGCAGGCCCAGTTCTCATGTTGTCCTTCCTCTGCTCCTCTCCCCAGCCCGGCCTGCGCGGTCCTCTGCACGTTTCCAGGAGCAGGAGAAAATGAACACATCCGAGGTGAGTCATTTACATATTGCCCATTTTTTTTCCAGCAGAGTCTAGGAGTTCTTTTGTGTTTTTAGTAACTCCACTTTCTTGTCGATCGTTTTTCTTCATTTTTTCCTTTCCTGACTTTTCCCCTGCATTATCATTTTAGTTTCTTCCCCTTCAAGTGGTTGCAAAGGGCTAAGTTTTCTTTTTCTTCTATTATCGGTTACCTTTGATGGGTGTAGCACCGGTGTAAACATATTTCTATCAGCATCAGGAGTTGTTGTTTTTTTAATCTTTTTTAAACATTTTTTAAAGATTTTATTTATTTATTTTTAGAGAGGGAAGGGAGGGAGAAAGAGAGAGAGAGAGAGAAACATCAATGTGCAGTTGCTGGGGGCCGTGGCCTGCAACCCAGGCATGTGCCCTGACTGGGAATTGAACCTGCGATGCTTTGGTTTGCAGCCCTCACTCAATCCACTGAGAGGTTGTTTTTATGTTATCATTAAATAAGGTATACTGTGCCCTCATCTCGGGTTCTGTGGACGTCACCTAATGTCTTTGGTTTTTTTTTTTTTCATTTTTTGTCTTTTTTATTATATTATTTCCATTACCATTTATTCCTCCTATACCCTCTTCCGACTCCACCTACCTACCTCCCCTGCACAATCATTTTTTAAATTTTTTACATCATAAATACTATGTGGGGAATTGTTAGTTAACAATTACATTGCACTTTCTAGCCACTTGGATCATAATTATTTAAATTTTATTATCCATTCTCTGGTTATTTTTGCTGTCCCAAGTTTGAAGACAAAGTGACAAAATAATAATAATTGGTCAATTATAACATTACCTACAATTTAGGGCTGCTTGTTGTGTTCTAGTCACTGTTAACTTCCTTACCTGGATTAGCTCGTATAATCCTGACAGCACTGAGAGGTGCCCTTCTGTGATGCCCTTTTTATGGAGGGTAGGAGTAGCTTTTCAAGAGCTGGCAGCTGGAATAGTTCTAAGGAGACATCATTAGAGATTTGGCCAGACAGAGACCTCGAGGCCACAGTCACTGCAAGCTTTCCACCCATTGTTGGCGGTAATTTATCATCTGCTTTTATTCCAACTTCGCCAAGAACTTGAAATGGGAGACCTCTTAGGCGTACAGTTGCCAGATAAGACTCAGGGCACATAATACAAAATTTATCTTGCACTGGACACTCTTGTGCTAAACACTTATTTGTTGCTTATCTGAAGTTCAGATTTAACTGAGTGCCCTGTGTTTTTATTTGTATTTCTTTTCTTTCTTTATTGAATTTATTGAGATGATATCAGATAAGAAAATTATACAGGTTTCTGGCGTAGAATTCCATAATACATTGTCTATATATTGTACTGCTCACCACCCCAGGTCAAGTCTCCTTTTATCACCCTGTGCCCCCTTGACCCCTCCTTCTCCCCCGCCCCCTTCCCCTCTAGCGATCACTATGCTCTTACGAGTTTTTTTCTCTTAGTCCCTTCTCCATGTTCAGAGAGCTTCCACACCCCCCGCCCCTCAGACAGCCATCCGTCTATCTCCTGCCTCTGTGAATCCGTTTCTGTTCTGTTTATTCAGTTTGTTCATTAGATTTCACGTGTAAGTGAAGTCATATGGTACCTGTCTTTCTCCAACTGGCCCATGTCACTTCGCATAATGCTAAGTCTGGCCACCTACTCGGCAGGAGGAGGGGTCCGGGTGCCCGGTGCTGACCGCTCGGGCCGGCAGTCCTGGCTCACGCAGAGCACGAGACCGTCTCTGTCGCCACGGCCGGCTGCCTCGCCCCGCTCCGGGCGGCCTATGGCTGAGCCCGCGAGGCCCGCCTGCTGCAGCATCACCACCCATCGCTGCAGCCGCTCCTCTTCCAGACTCTCAGGGACTCTCAGGCTCGGTTCCCACAATGGGTAGCTTTGTCAAAAAATATAACACTTTCCCTGGCTGGCGTAGCTCAGTGGATTGAGCGCGGGCTGCGAACCAAAGCATCGCAGGTTCGATTCCCAGTCAGGGCACATGCCTGGGTTGTAGGCCACGGCCCCCAGCGACCACACATTGATGTTTTTCTCTCTCTCTCTTTCTCCCTCCCTTCCCTCTTTAAAAATAAATAAATAAAATCTTAAAAAAAATACAACACTTTGCCTACATATGCTTTGTTTGTAAGTAACTTTTAAAAAAAGTTTCCTGTTGCATAGCCTCATGCACTCTTCCCCTCCGCAGCCCAGGAGTCACCCCTGGGCTCTGCCAGGACCAGTCCTTCGGCCCCTCTCTCTGTCCACCACGATTTTCGCGGGTCATGCCTTCTCTCCCAGATTCTGCTGAGTTTTGATGGACACCCCTGGGCATTTCCCAGAATGACCGTGCGGTTTTATGCCCTCCGCGTCTGGGTATCTGCATGTGCCTTTATTCTGCTGTTACATGAATGATCAACTGCTTATAGGATTAGGGTTTGAAGTCCTTTCCCTTCAGAGCACGACGAGAAAAGATCGTCTCTGTGGTCTCTCGGCATTTGGAGAGGCTGGGGAGGCGTCGTGTGGCGGCTTGGTTCTCGCTTATTTTGTAGGTGACCTGTTTCCTCTTTCCTTTTCTGCAAGTTTTTCTTTATCCTCGAGTTTCAGATCTTTCACCAGGCAGTGTCTGGTTATGTGTTCTTTTTTCAGGCTGCCTGGCGGTAATTGGACGGGCCTCTCAGGGTGTTCCCAGTTGCTTCTGTGATTGTTTTCCTGCCCCGCCAGCATCTACGCTCGTGTCGCCCAGACCCCAGCACACTGTCGGTGCCTCGTGCAGCCGGCTGCGTTTTTTCGCTTTTCTTTCATTTTTTACATTTCTGTTTTTCTGCGGTTTTCTTCTATGTGTTGAGAGATTAGGTCATTTTTGTCGTCTATGTCATTTGGTTTTCAAGTCTTCTCTTTAGAGTTTTGCTTTTCTGTTTTTATAACTCAGCCACAAAATATTCAGCATCTCTGGGCATGTTTTCATAGTCAACTTTTCTCATTTGATGGCAATAAGACTCTTACATCAATTGGGGGCACCAGTTCGAATTCTTCCAAGTTATTCTCTTCAGTAGCAGAATTCAGCTTGTTTTCAAGTCTTCCGTCTACTTGTTTTGGCCTTTATCTTCTAGGCTGTTGCTTACTATTGATATTAAATTTAATTTAACAGTCTACAAGTCTGTGGTGGAGGCTTATTTTTGAGATTGTTGTTTTTCCTTCCACATTTAAGCCTTTTTTTTCCCTGCGTGAACAGAAAGGTAAAAACCTCATTATATCAATTCAGATTGCCGATGTGTGTTACTTGGCAACGCAGAGGTCTGTGTCCTTGGCGAGCATTTCCCTGGAACAAAAGGACCGACTCGGGATCTTCTGTGTGAATTGCTGGGACACGTGAACAGACAGGCTTGTCTTTAGGCCGTGCAGAGGGGGTCCGAGCTCAAGGGGCCCCCCTTCCCCTGCCTTAAAAGAAAAGCTGAGATCATATCAGGGCACTGAGCAAAGTATGCTGCTTATCGCTTGGGTTGCAAAGCTCATGCAGACCCCTGGAGGCTGTGCCCTGCTTTTTATAGAGACCCAGCCTACTGAGTGTGAGCCCTCCACTAACCCATGCGGGGGTAAGGGACCACCCAAGGAGGTGGCCATGCTTCTGTTACTCCTGCTCCCTCTTCTGAGGCCTGTGCGCACTCCGGTTCCCTGTCCCGGCTGCTCCTGGGCAGCTGGGAGGTCTCCCCAGGCTCTGCACAGAACCTGAGGCTGCACTGTGTTGTTCGTGCTAAGGGGTGAGCACAGTGCTTCCACTCTCTCCCGCCTCCTCTCTGTCTTCAGAAACTTGTCAGCGTTTCTCACTGGCTGCCATCCTCTTCCCCAGTCCTCCCCTGCTCTGACAAACACAGCAGTGTTGTTATGTTTCTCCCTGCCGTCGTTTTAGAGGCAGAGGAGATAAATGTGTGTGTGTACCTAGCTCGTTGCATCAAGTGAGGAGTGTCACTTATTCTTGAAATTGTCACCACCAGTGGCTTCTGAAACAGTCTTCTCTTATTTGGCAGCTGCTGATTGAGCTCCACTGGAGACCAGAGCTCTTCCAGATGCTGCAGGTCCAACCGCTGACTCCTGCCTCGTGTTCCTTCTTACTCGCCGGGGCCCCCTCTCCTTGCCCTGCTGTCCCCCAGGCTCTGCGTCCTCGGTCTCCACAATCTTTGTGAGCAGGTTCTCTAGGCGGGTGGCTTCGGCTACCACCGAGCCACTCTTGACTTCCAAAAATGTGCCCTAACCCTATCCCTCTCTCCTGAGCTCCAGCTGCAACCCTGACACTTCATCCTGTGTGTGTCACAGGTGCCTTCAGTATAATGTATCCAAGATCTCTCTCTCTCCTGCCCAATCTGCTCTGTACCTGTTTTGTCCGTCTCAGCACATGGCGTCCGCACAGGCCCTGCTGCTCTTGCCGTTGCTGGGACGGACGCTACTTGCTCTGTCAGTCCACAGCCAATCACTGATTGGTCCCATCCAGAGTCAGCTCCCGCCTCTAAGTCCTTTCCTCACTACGTTAAAACAGGCGGTCAGTCATCTCTTACAATAGCCTGTTACCTCCCCTCTGACTTCCCTTGAAAACTGGCTTTCTTAACTTCTACACTATCAGTGTTTTTTGGGCCAGAAAATTCTTTGTTGGGGAGGTGTTCCTATGCATTGTGGGAGTTTAGCAGCATCTCTGGACCCCGCCCACGGTTGTGACCACCAACAATGTCTCCACACAAATCCCTCGTGGATGGCAAAATTATGTCCGATTGGGAGCTACTGCTTAAAACACCTGCCACCCTGCTGCCAGAGCGTCACTTCCACATGACCTTGATTATTTCGCTTAATCTTGATTGTGCTGCTTGTTTATCTGTCCCCATTGTCTGCAGAGGTAATCTCCCAAGAAGGGATGTTTGTCCCAGAGAACCTCACAATCAAGTCATGTGTGGCATGTAAATAAAATATTAGAACGCCCCTTTATGTTTCTTTTCGTGTCTAAAAATTTTAGGAAAGTCGGGCTTTACTTTCGGCGCGTGGCTTGAAGATTCGTATATGTACAGTATAATTCGTAAGAAGTATCCAGAAGCTCTTACTGATTGAAGCGCTAGGGGGCGCTGGTCTACAGGAGAAAGTCCAGAATTCCCCGTGTCCGACCACTAGATGGCGCCCACTGCTCTATGTCTCATCAAGCCCCCAACCTCACTCCCTCACTCTGTACTCCTTGCGATTCCCTTAATTTAATGTGCATTGTAGGGTGTCTACATCTTGGCTCAGACTGTCACCCCTCATTCACACAAAACTCACTGTTGGTGTGCCATCAAATCTTTATCTCAAGGAAGCATAACCCGAAGAAACAAAGAGATTTAACCCTCCTTCCCCTTGGGGACCTCACTCGACCCTGGCCACCCATTGTTTTCACGGCTCCCATAATTCACTACTGCATGTGTCTGTTTATGTAGAAATTGTCCTCATCGGTCTCTAAACGCCTTAAGAACAGGACTAGTGTCTTTATTTTTTTTTTTAATATTTTATTTAGTTATTTACTTTCAGAGAGAGGAGAAGGGAGGAAGAGAAACATCAATGTGTGAGAGAAACATCAATTGGTTGCCTCTTGCACGCCCCCAACTGGGGACCTGGCCCGCAACCCAGGCATGTGCCCCGTCAGAGAATCGACCTGGTGACCTTTCAGTATGCAGGCTGGTGCTCAATCGACTGAGCCACACCAGCCAGGGCAGGACCTGTGTCTTATTCACCTTAGCATCCTTCAAAACTAGAACAGTTCTCGGCAGGTAGAGGAGCCCCAATTGTCTTATGAATCAATAAGTGAATACAGAGGCAGAGTGTTTCTGTTGTGATTTCTGTTTCTCCCCCAAAGTATAATGTGAAGGAAGGTACACAGACCTCCTTGGTAACTTCTCCTGGCAAACTCTTCACAGCAACACAGTGGGCTTAGCGCCGTCTCTGTTTCTCACGCCATCTGGTCCCGAGCACTGAGCGGGGTTGGGCTGTTGCAGGGATCGGTGTTGTTCGAGGACGTGTCCGTGGACTTCACCCAGGAGGAGTGGCAGCTGCTGGACTCCGCCCAGAGGCTCCTGTACAGGGATGTGATGCTGGAGAACTACAGGCACCTGGTGTCCCTGGGTAAGCACGGCCCCCGTGCCACTCCCGACGGCACGCACGTCCTATCTCAGGAACCAAACCGTTGTCGAGTGTTAACTGAATTTCGGGCTTGAGATTTTGGATTCAAAGGTCCTTTCTAGGGAACTTGAACGGATTGTATTCTCCCCTCCTTCGTGCAACAGTCTTGTCTGATGAGGGCACCATCATTGTCAGCTTTTACAGCTGCTCCCTTCCGGTTCTTTAAAGGGCCCGAACCCTAAGCAACCTTACCAAGTCTCATGTCATTTCCCACAACAGGGTACTCTGCTACCAAACCTGAGCTGATATCCAAGCTGGAGCAAGGAGAGGAACCATGGGTGTCACAGAGAAAGTTCCCGAGTCAGAGCCGCCCAGGTGAGTTAATGAGGTCAGACACAGGCAACTGGCAGAAACTGGACCCCAAAGGGCCCCGTCTGGGGGCTGGGGTCTTGGAAGTGCATCTCAGAAATCTCTCTGAGAGGCTCCAGCCTCTTGGACATGACTGAAGACAAATGATCACCATACCTTAGTTATTAAACCTCCTAATATCACCTTCACACATAATTTTAAAAATTTATTTATTTATTTATTTATTTATTTTTAGAGAGGGAAGGGAGGGAGAAAGAGAGAGAGAGAGAGAGAAGCATCAATGTGCAGTTGCTGGGGGTCATGGCCTGCAACCCAGGCATGTGCCCTGACTGGGAATCGAACCTGCGATGCTTTGGTTCACAGCCCACGCTCAATCCACTGAGCTATGCCAGCCAGGGCTTAATTTTCTATTTGACCTTTATAGAGATTTGCTTGGTTTTTGTAGAACCCATGTGCTGCCTTCCCCATCCTAGACCTTTATCTCTTTGTTTTCCTCTCTGCTCAATAATGGCCATTGTTGACCTTTCCTCCAGGGCTAAACACTCTGAGATATGCATTGAAGTATACATTTTTTATTCAATGAACATTTATTTATTAAGTGCCTGTTGTGTACCAGTCACATCCTAACACCAGGGGTACAAAAGCAAAGTCTCTGCCCCTATCAACAGACCCAGTTAGCAGAGAAACACATAACAGAGGTGGTAGTACTCAGCACTCAGAAAAACTGAAGATAGGCGAAGGGGAGAGAGAGTGACGGGGAGTGATATTTTAGAAGGGAAGTCAGGGAAGGCCTCTTCGAGGAGGTGAACATTTGAACAGCAACAGCAAGAACGTGGAGCGGAGTTGTGAATAAAGGGATGGGCTGAGACACAGGGCATCTGAGGGGTTTCCAAGGGGACAGCAGGTGCCCAGTCCCTGAGATGGGGGTGGGCTTGGTGTAATCAGGGAACGGCAAGGAAGTCAGTGGGAACAGAGAGGGTGTACTGAGGGAAGTGTAGCAAATGATGGCAGAGAGTTTTGCTGAAGGTAAAACTTTACAGGCCTGGTAAAGACCGAATCCTACTCTGAGTGAGGTGATAAGTAAAAGGAGAGGTCAAGAACTATACCCTTAAGCGCTGCACGCGAAGGTCAGGAAGACACAGGATTCTCACACTGGAGACTGAGCAGGAGCACGCTGCATGTAGGGAGAAGGGAGAGAGCCAGGAGACTGCGGGGTCCCAGGAGCCACGGGAGCAAAGTGTCCTTAGGAGGAAGGAGTGAATTTCCATATGCCCGTGCAAGCACGAAGTCAGCACTGTCCCTTCTTCTCCTGAAAAGTATCCAAAGGCCACAAGGAAAAAAAACTTTTTTAAAAAGTCAACTCCCTATTTACTATAGGTTGGAGGCAGCTGAAATCCCAAACATAATACAAAAGGAAGGGGAAAAACTGCCCAAAGCAATGGAAATCAGGCTTGATCATGAGAGTAAAAGTGCTTAGGAAAGAGAGTTAGAACACAGTGTATACACAGCATTTACATGCAGTACTTGCCACAAATGGGACTTCAAACAATGAGGTGTTTGTTTAAAAAAACAATGGGAAAGTAGCATTGCCCTGAAGGATGTGTAGGTTCCGGGTAGAGCTGAGGGTAGGATGTGCGCTGACTCAGTGGAGAACATGAGAGTGGGTTTGTGGTTGGCAATGCACAGCATATGGGAATAAGCACCTCGGTCTCACAGAAGCTGACAATACTGTAGACTTTTGGGGTGATCATCTGAACTCGTATTGTGAATTTAGGCATATGAAACTAGTATACACATTCAATATCAAGTTTTCCTTCCTAGTACACTGCTTCTATTTATCTGCTACAGAAATGTCATACGTTTTTAAGCATGCAATTGCTATTATGGCATAGAATGAGAATAGCAGAGGATAATAATAATTGCCCATGGCCCAAAATGTTAAGATGAAAATTAGTGGAGGTCCTAGGATCAAGACGAACAGCCAGGTACCTGAGGCCCCACAGATCAGAGAGGAAGAAAACATGACATAAAAGTGGAAAGAAAAATTAGTGTTGTGACAGCGCACGATCAGTTGGTAAAGTAAGTCGGCAGACTGGAAGTCGGAGAGTAGAGTTTTCAGTTGAGACAGATCACTCTGGATTCACTCTGATAGGTCAGATGACAGCAACAATCAGAGCACAGAGGTGCACGGGATTCTGTTGCAAGCGTGGCTCGTCCTCTCACGTATCTTAACATTCTCTTTGGACATTGTTTTCCCCTTTCCTAGCTGTATGGACAGATGGAGCCAGAACTACGGGACTGACCATTAGAACAGAGGAAATGAATGATTTCATAAGTTTAATTGTGAGTTGGCGTGCAGAATGGAAAAGAGGAGGAAGAGTTTGGAAGCATGCAGATGGTAGGAAGGGTCCTACTGCAGTGACCGAATCTAAGGCAGAGGAGGAAAAGGTTCAAGTCTGCCCCCACACTTAATCTTCGCTCTGACACTTCCCTGGGTCACCCTTCGGTCTTCCTTGTCTCCCTACTCAGCGTCCCTAACCTTTACCCCATGCTCCGACTGCCCTCCGTCCTTGGATCAGCTGTTTTCCTGACACCCTGTGTTCTCCGTTCACCATTCCTTGTGCTTTATTTCAAAAGCTCTCTACCTATTTGGAGGTCATATGTGTAACAAGCCAAAGTAACTCATGTTAATTTTCAGCTTTCTCTCTATTTTTCTACTATAGTATGTGCTTTTGTCTTTGTTTTCATGCTATCAAACCAAAAGAGTAGAATAAATATTGGCTTCAGAGTCCTCTCATCCCAGGAGACCGTGTCTCAAACCTGAGAAACAGCTCAACATGGGGCACGTGTGTACAACCCCAGTCCTTAAGAAATGTGTTAAGATTTATAATGTGTGTTAATTTTTAATATTTCCAGAAGTCCAGAAAGCCAGGAACGTGAAAGAGAGAAGCCGAGAAAATGAAGATAAGTATTCAAGGCAAGCTTCATTCAGCAACAACAAAACACTGACTAAGGGAAGAAGTAAAACCTCAGGAAAGGCCACCAACCCAACGCCTTCAAGAAAAATGTCCCACAAGTGTGACTCGTTTGGCACAAGCTTGAAAAGTGTTTCAGAATTAATTATCAGTAATAGAATCTGTGTGATAAAAAAGCCTGACGATTTCAAGGGATGTGGATTCCTTGATACTGTGTGTGATAAAACTCACACAGTGACCAAGTCCTGTGAGGATGATCAGGAGAAGAAATCCCACAGTCAGAACGATGCCTTTGTTCAGCATCAGAAGAATTTGGGTTTGGAGCAACTCCTTCAGTACAATAATTGTGGGAAAGCCTCTCACAAAAACACAGCCTTTGTTACATACAAGAGAACTCACACGGGAGAGAAGCCTTCTGAAGGTAGTAAATACAGAACAGCCTTCAAGCAAAAGTTCAAGTTCAGTGCTTGTCTTAGAACCCTGAGGGAATGGGAGCCACGTGAACCCAGTAAAAATGGGAAATCCTCATGCCTGAAGTCAAAACGTGCACCTCAGAGAACTCACGGAAGGGAGAAACACTCTGATGGATATGATGAGTCGGGGAAGTCCTGCAGCAAGAAGTCGAACCTTACTGAGCACCAGAGAATGCACGCAGGAGGAAACCCCGATGACTCCCATGAAAACGAGGAAGCCTTGCAGAAGTCAGGCTCCACTCAGAATGAGAGAACTCACACGGGAGAGAAAGTCTACGACTGCGATAAACATGGGAAATCCTGCCGTGACAAGTCACGCCTCACTCAACATCAGGAAGGTCAGACAAGGGAAAAACCCAGTGAGTGTAATGACGGTGAGGAAGCCATAAAGAAGTCACTCGTCACTCAGACCCAGAGAACTAACAGAGGAGAGAAAAGCTGCGAAGGTGGTAAGTGTGAGAGATCCTCCCACGAGACGTCGAAACTCCGTCGGCACCAGAGAACACACTTGAGGAGGAGAACCGATGAGGGCAGTGAAAGTGGGAGGGCCTTAAGTAGCAAGTCAGACCTCGCTCAAGATCAGAGCGTTCCCAAAAGAAAGAAAACCTATGACTGTAACCAATGCGCAAAAGGCTTCCAGAAGAAAACAGACCTCACTCAACATCAGAGCGCGCACACCGGGAAAAAACCCTATGAGTGTAATGAATGTGGGAAGTCCTTCTTTGTGAAGTCCAACCTCACGGAGCATCAGAGAACCCACACAGGAGAAAAGCCATACGAATGCAATGAGTGCGGAAAATCCTTCTGCCAGAAGTCAGCCCTCACGGTGCATCAGAGAACTCACACAGGAGAGAAACCATATAAATGTCATGAGTGTGGAAAAACCTTCTGTGTGAAATCGAACCTTACTCAGCATCAAAGGACCCACACAGGAGAGAAACCCTACAAGTGTAACGAATGCTCTAGATCTTTCTGCGTGAAATCCAACCTTGTTGTACATCAGAGAACTCATACGGGAGAGAAACCCTACAAGTGTCCCGAATGTGGGAAGACTTTCTATGAAAAGTCGGCACTCACGAAACATCAGAGAATTCACACAGGGGAAAAGCCCTATGAGTGTCATGAATGTAAAAAGACCTTCAGCCAGAGGTCAGCCCTCACCAAACATCAAAGGAAAACACACAAGAAGAAAACTCCCATCAACACTCTCCATGGGCAGAAGCCGGCATCTACAAGTCAAACCTAACGAACATCAGCAAGTTTGCAGGGCAGAAATGCTAAGACGTCAGCACATGTGGGGAGGTGTTTATCAGCAGGTTAGAGCCAACTGGAATCAGAGGATTCATGTAGGAGTGAACGCCCGTGAATACTTGGAATGCTTGAAAGCTTCCAACAAGTATGCAAAGATGTTAAGGGGAAATATGTCATTTTAAGGAACATGAAGTAAACTGTTCTTGTAGAAATAGTGTTTAACCAGAAGTCATATTTTAGATGTAAGACCAAACTTATTACAGAGAAGGTAACAGAAATACTCAGTTTTTAATAGAATGTGAAATGTGGTGCTTTTGTAAAAGTGTGAGTAATTTATTGACACAATAGCATGAATTATATGTGAAGGTATTGAGGTATTTTTGGCTATATATATATATATACACATATATAAGTATACAGTACATGAATGTGCTATATAATATGAATTATGTGTATGTTGGATTTTCATATTGGAACCCATACTGTCTCTGAATCTCAGCAGTACAGTATACAGTGTGGGTAGAAAGTGGGTTTGCGGTTGTGAGTACGCAAAACACAGAGTTTATTCTTATACTGTTATTTATTAATGATTGTACTATTTTCCATACAAACAACCGTAAACCCACTTTTGCCCCACCCTGTGCACACTGGAGGTGAAAATCGAGCATTCACACAGTCTGCGGCCCAACAACCCCACCTCTAGATCACCCATGAAAACATAGTTCTCTTCCAGGCATCATCCTAAAAGGTGTTTGGAAATGCAGGGTCCGGCAGAAGCAAGGCGTGCTTGAGTGTGGTTGGTTGGGTAATAATATGGGTACCATAATTCATAGTTTTAATTTGAACATTTTACCCAAAATGTCACAGGGTATGCTTGAGTGTGATATTGCTATGTTACAGAATTACATGCTTATGATTTTGTCATAAGAGATTTTGTAATAAACGGGCATTACTTGTGCTGGGCCCTGTATTTGGATGGTTTGGCTGCCACTATGACTGAGGGTGCTACAGGCATTTAGCAAGTGGGAGGGCCACAGAGGCTCAGTGCCCCGCAGTGTCCCAGTGAAAAGACAGAAAGAAGAGGTTCATCCAGAATGCCAGAAGCTCCATCCCAGAAAGACGCTGGTCTAGAGGAACTTGGACATCTGCAACCACACCCGTCACGGAAATTTTCATTGCAGCATTGCAATAATTTTTGTACTAATTTTGTAAAGAACAGAAAACAACAAATGTCCACTAATGATAGAATAGATAAAGAAATATTGGTGTGGTGAATTGGTGGGACTAAGATACACTGATGAAAAGGAATTCATCTCAGACACGCTGAGATTGTTTTGTCTGAAAACGATAGTGTTAAATAAAAATATAGATACTGTGTCATTGCATTTCCATAAAGTTCAAAAACAACGAATTCAGCAGTATATTTGTTAGGGATACATATATTGGAAGTAAAACTGCAAAGAAAAACAAGTGGATGGTTAACGTGAAACCTAGGACAGCAGTTACATCTGTGGAAGAAGGAGTTTACATTTATTTATTCTTAAAGATTTTATTTATTTTTTAGAGAGAGGGGAAGGGAGGGAGAAAGAGAGGAAGAGAAACTTCAGTGTGTGGTTGCCTCTCATGTGCCCCCTACCAGGGACCTGGCCCACAACCCAGGCATGTGCCCTAATTGGGAATCAAACCAGTGACCTTTGGTTCGCAGGCCGGCACTCAATCCACTGAGCCACACCAGCCAGGAAGGGTTTACATTTAGAGAGAGCATGAGCTTCGTGTTTCTTAGATGGGTCATGAGTATATCAGTGTTGCTTTTATATCTTTTCTTTATATATATATCTATGCACACACACATATATTATTTCTGTTTATAAACTAATTTTCAACAAACAAGCTCAAAATAATTGCATTAGAATATCAGCAAAAGTGAAGTTTTGGTGTAAGGATTACAGTTAATTTTTTTCTTTCATTTTTCTGTATTGGAACCCTCCGTAATGACTTCTTCAAGTATCCATACCACGTGTCATTCAGGCCTACCCTTCTTGATTTGCTTGATTCTGTTATTTCCCTTTGTTCCCTAGCAAAATTTTTCCTAAATTTTAAAAACCATAAGTTACCATAGACAATAATATGAATAAGTTGAATTCACACATTAAAGGTAAAGGTAGTTTAATAATTGGTTAAAAAGCTAAATCCAAAAAGCTATGGATTGCAAGAAGAAGTACCTAAAATGGGGGGACAAAGATTGAGAGTTAAGGGACGTGCAAAAATAGGTTGTTTTTTAACATTCATCCACAAAGGAAAACACCTACAGGTAAGTCCTGTGGTCACACTGTGTAACCCAACTGTGCTCTAAACCATTAGGGTCTACGGCCTCTTATCAAAAATGATCTTGTAGGAGCCCTGGCTGGTGTAGCTCAGTGGATTGAGCTTGGGCTGCGAACCAAAGTGTCACAGGTTCGATTCCCAGTCATGGTACATGCCTGGGTTGCAGGCCATGACCCCCAGCAACTGCACATTGATGTTTCTCTCTTTCTCCCTCCCTTCTCTCTCTAAAAATAAATAAGTAAAATCTTTTAAAAAATGATCTTGTAGGGAAATATCTGTTGCTATGACAATATGTTCAGGTTACATTGCTTTTCTGTCTTAAAATAGTATTAAACATTCACCCCTGTGGTCAGAGAATCCACAGGAATCCCCGGAATGGGCAGGGAAGAGAAGAGGGTTTCGGAGAAGCGCCTCTTTGATTGATGACTCTCCCTTGGCCGTCGGGTCTAGTGAGGACCTTTTTAATATGCCTTGTTTCGACTTTACGGGGAATGACGAGCAGAGCACTGAGAATGGGGTGACTAGACTTCTGATCTCATATTCTTAAGTCTTTAAAGAGGAAAATTTAGATAATAGGATTGCATTAGTCTCTTTGGGCTTCTATCACACTATCATCGATTTATAAACCACAGAAACTTATTTCTCGCAGTTCTGGAGGCTGGGAAGCCCAAGGTCATGGTGCCGGCAGACTCAGTGTCTGCCAGGGCTTGCTTCCTGATGCATAGGTGGCCGTCTTCTTTCTTTCTTGCTCATGGAGCAAGGAGTGAGGAGCTCTCTGGAACCCTGTCTCTAAGGGCACTAATCCTATTCATGAGAGCTCCACCCTCATGACCTAATCACCCCCCAAAGGCCCCCACCTCCTAATACTGTGACCTTGAGGGTTAGAAATCCAACATGAGCTTTGGAGGAATGTTCAGTCCATAACAACCGTAGTGTTTTCCAGTGTTATCTTTCCGAACCTCGTACCCGCCACGTGCAGGGCAGCGGGTAGGTCTTTAGAGGCGGAAGGTGGTGATCTGGACAGGAGGAGAGGAGGGTAGAGAAAGCACTGTGTGTATCTTGAGATAAAATGTTGAATTCCCTCACCTGGACCTAACAACACCCCTCGGCCTGGACTGTGCCCTCGCAGACACCCCAGAGTAGGGCTTGTGGGTTCTGTCCACTGCCAGTCCCTCAGCTCGGTGCGCTTCCCTAAACCTCCCACTGTCACACTGTCCTGTCTCTTCAGCGGGTAAAACTGCGCACTTTGCGCACTGAACAGGAGGGTCGGGAGCTGCATCTGGCCTAGCTCCCTGTCTGAGGCCCTTCTGCCTGTTCCCAGGGCACGGGTAAACAGTCTCGTTCCAGCGTGTGGCTCCTTTTTGGATTTTTAGTCCCAGAATGCCTTCTCACACCTAAGAGCCAATGTAACCATGTGAGGTCCGCTCCTGGGCCCCATGCACAAACTCCCTTACACGGAACTTCTGCCTTGGTAACCAACATCGGTCTCTGATGTCCCCTCCCGGCCCCTGGCACCTCAAACCCAGCTTCTGGTAAAAACTCAAACCAGGGCCACTAACACAGGCTGGAGAGTCCTCGAGCCGTGCTGAGGCTGCAGGAACGCAGCCTGGCCTCGTACTTCAAAGAGACACGAGGAAATCCCAGGACGAGAAGGCAGGAGTCCGTTTTAATTCCATGTTTACTTCCTGGGGTCATAAAGGGCGTTTCATGAGGCTGAAACTGAAGAATTCAAAGGTGGTTGAAGTACACACCTAGGTTTTTGTTTGTTTGTTTGTTTTTATTTATTTTTAGAGAGGGAAGGGAGAAAGAGAGAGAGAAACATCAATGTGCGGTTGCTGGGGGCCATAGCCTGCAACCCAGGCATGTGCCCTGACTGGGAATAGACCCTGGGACACTTTGGTTCACAGCCTGCACTCAATCCACTGAGCTACGCCAGCCAGGGCACACCTAGGTTTTAGACAGTGGGGTATACTGGAAAAGCATGGGATTTGAAGGGAAGTGGTTCTTGGGTTTATCCCCAGCACTGAAACCAGATACGTTTTGATGTTGGAGGACTTAACTCACCTTTCTGAGCATCAACTTTCTTATTTATAAAAAATCTTTTTTCTTATTTTAAAAATAAGGATGGTGACACAAACTTTGCAGTAGATTTTAGGGCTCATTGAGATGTTGCACTAAAAGAACCTCACAGGTGCTGTTTGTAGTAGTAGTTGTTGCTGCTCTAGCAATGGCCCCTGATGGGACTTTGTTACATGGCAAACAGTGAAGCAATGGAGTACATGCCAGACCAACGTTTATCCTTTAGAGCAGGCCTGCCAGGTAAGTTCTCTCCCCACGCCCATTTTAAAGATGAGGGAAACAAGGCTTATGGACATTTTTGAAATTACTACAGCTATAGGGGAAGCCAAGTAGCAGACCGTGGCATTGAACCCAGGTATCTCTGGCTCCAACATTAGTTCTGCAGGAATTCTTTCTAACCCACTTTCTTCCTGTTTGATTCACTCCTTTCTTTCGATTTATATTTTCCATTGTATTTTTTCATTCTTTTACTTTTAACCTGCCTCTATAATTTTATTTAAACTGAGTTTCCTATTGACAATACATACTGGGTCATGTTCTTTAATACACATTATCACTCTCTGTCTTTTAACTGGTGTATTTAGACCATTT